GAAATGAAAGAATTCAGCGCCCGATGGGATGAAGAACCAAGGATAGCTTGCCAGGGAGATAGAGCAGTGTTGCTCAGGTCTCCCCACCCTCAACCCTGGAAGAATAAAGACTCTGGGGGAGGAAGTAGGCTCTGGCGGAGGATGAGGAATTAGCCTTTGGACTGGCATTTGAGGTAAGGCAGGACACTTGTTCTTGGGTCAGAACACAGGACCAGAGGGACAATGAAAGTGAGGGGCCCCACATGTATGGTTTAGGGGGCTGGGCTTGGCAGTCAGCCCAGGGTTGGAATGTACAAGAACTACAGGCTAGGTCTTGAGAGAGAGACAGAGAGGTGACAGTGTGAGGAAGAAGAGGAGCAGGAGTCTTGAAGGTGTGGAGGGTGTGCGTGTGTGTGTGTGTGTGTGTGTGATGGGATCTGAAAATCACAGCGAGAGTCTAGTTGGCATTCATTTTAGAGACGTCTCATTTTTCCACTGTGAATCCTCTTTGGCCCTGGGAATCCATTTCTGCACAGCTATGCGCAAGGAGAGTCCCTGGAGCACTCTCAGAGCTAGGATGGCTACTTTCATTCCAGATGGGACCCCAAAGGGCTCTCACCCTCCACAGAGCCCCAGACGCGGGCAGCCAGCACTGGTTCAAGCGGCAGGCCGTGGGGGTTCCTGTTCCGGCAGAAAGCCCAGCAATTTGTTCACCTTGCCTTTCCCACTTCTGATTGCAGTCTTGAGTAGCCTGAAGTCAGCTGCTGATGAGAACATCATTCTGTGCTGCCTTATGCCAGCCCAAGACATCTATCATCCAGTGGAAAGGGCAGCCCTCTTGGTTGGGTGCAGATGGGCTATGGCTGAGGCTTGACTGTGCCTGACCTAGCCTGGGGCATGCTGGTCACCTCTCCAGGAAACGAGTCTTTCCCTGCCAGCCTTTCCTCGATTCCTCTGCCCCTTGCCACTTAAATGCAAATGTCACCCCTGGGATCCTTTCACTGTGGGGTATTTTTTAAAGAAATAGCATATTAAAAAGGACATTTGTCTGTCCTCTCTCCTGTTTAAATTGCTTTCCACAGGTTACAGAGACCTGACCGTCATTTTCTTCTAGAGAGCAGAACAAGTCTTGTGAAGATTTGGGCTAATTGACTTTTGGAGAAGAGCTGCTTAAATTTATCAAGAAGGTTCAAGTCTCTTTTTCTCCTCCCATATCTTGCAAAAGGCTTTACATTTTGTTTCCAAATCTCTGCCAACGCCTGGTCTGTTTAAAAGTGAATTCCCTGGAGACGATGGCAGAGAGGGTGTTGGATGTCACATTTTGCAGCTTCAGTCTTTAATACAGTTGTTCCAGTCCCAGAAAGTCTTTTCTGTTTACATAAGGGAGGTATTATTCACACAAAGATTACACTTAAAAATACACCCCCAGCATGCCTGTTACTAATAACATTGCATGTTATGAAAGTGGAAGGTATTTAAGATGAAATTAATTTTCACTCAGTGCGCCACTTTGTTTGACGTTCTCGTTCCATTCCGTGTGGGGCACGGACTTGGCCAAGCTCACTTTTCATTTTCAGCAAGATCACTTTCTTATGCCTCTCTTCTGGATTGAAGCTGTTGGAAGTGAGTTGCGAGCATATCAAAAAAAGTCTAGCCCTGACTGGGGTAGCTCAGTGGGTTGAGTGTGGGCTGTGAACCAAAGGGTCGCCAGTTTGATTCCCAGTCAGGGAACATGCCTGGGTTGCGGGCCAGGTCCCTAGTGGGGGCCATGTGAGAAGCAACCACACATTGATGTTTCTCTCCCTCTCTTCCTCCCTCCCTTCCCTTCTGTCTAAAATAAATAAATAAAATCTTTAAAAAAAAAGTCTAATTCGAGAGCTACTATAGATTTCTTCTGTATTGGCTTCCAGAATTTGTTTTGAAAATGGACACCCTCTTCTTCCCAGTCGATGAGTTTTAGTGTATACTCTTCTTTTCTTTTATTAGTGAGTTATCTTTTAGCAGAATTTCTGGGGTTGGAGTAGTTAACATCTTTTCTGGCAGTCTGTCCAAAGATCGTGGGAAAAGTTAACTGTTTCTCACATTGGACGCCTCTCTGTTATGCGTTCTTGTCAGTTCTCATCAGTGTGGCGTGGCTGGTCACTGTTTGGTGGAGGGGAGCAGGAGCATCCAGGACACCCTTGCCAGGCTGTGTCATCCTGCTTGGGCTGAGCTGCCTGTGAAAGTTCTGTGACAAGCAGGAGATAGCTAAGGGTGGAGGGTGAAGAGAGCAAAAAGGAAAAAGGACTCATGGACCTGGACAACAGAGTGAGGATTTGGGGGGACAGTGGCATTGTAAGGGGACTAAATGGGAATGGAGAAAAATACAATGAAAAAAAGTTCTGTTACACTGAGCTGCATTGTTTTAGCAGGAGACATTTTAACTGGTGGGACACAGATGCGAACACTTTGTAGGAAATGGTTCTTTATTTTTGATCAATCTCATGATCCTTGTTACCAACCTTGATTACATCAGCATATGTGCTGTTCCGTTTTATAGCATTTTAATGGGCTTTCATCCCCCTCCCCAATTTAGTTCCAGCTGTGTGACTATTATAATTTGATTACAGTTTGGTTTGCAACTGCTAGGACCCTTTCTGAGCACGTTATGCCTTCTTTGTGAGAGCGAAGCTATTCAGAGGTGAAAAAGAAGCAAGGGGCTTAAAAAAACAAAAACAAAAACAAAAGGAAGGACTTGTAACTAAGTAATTTCCAAAAGATGCTCAGAAGCTGGGATGATTGTGTCCTTCCAGAACAAGAAATTTGCTGAAATTCTTGGTAGCCTCTGACCCACAGGCTTTTTATTAAAACGTATAGAAAAATTCATTATAAATTTGCTTTCTTTATTCATCTAAATATGTTGGTTAAATATATTATTTTTAACTTAGTGACTTCCCCTCCTTGATTTTGGCTTTTCGAATCTACGCAGAACCAAAACAAAGGGACATTCATAATGTCGCTTCAGAATGAGCTACTTGATTCTCCCGCTGGCCCTGCAGTCCTGGGGCTCTTCCCTTCCTGTCCTTTCCTCCCCCCACAAAGAGGCTCAGGTTCACCTGGCAGTGGTTATGGTACTGCGTTTGTGTTTCTTTAGCCATTTATCAAGCTGCCTATTTTTCACTCACTGGTTAGGTATTTGATCTCATATTTTACATTAAAAAATTTTACTCTTTATTAATTTAGTAGGCAAAATGCACATTATTGCTATAACTTTAAAAGTTAAAAAATATTTATTTTTCAAGATTTTATTTATTTATTTTTAGAGAGCAGGGAAGGGAGGGAAAAGAGAGAGAAGTATCAGTGTGAGAGAGAAACATCAATCGGTTGCCTCTCACGCAAGCAGCCACACCTAGACCCAACCTGCAGGGTTGTGCCCTGACTGGGAGTTGAACCAGTGACCCTTCAGTTTTCAGGATGATGCCCAGCCAACTGAGTGATGTAGTGGGCAGGGCTAAAAAATTTTTTAAATTACAGTTGACATGAAATATTATTGTATATTAGTTTCAGGTGTGTGCTTTACATTTGATGAGTTTTCATCGATATTACCATGTTTTCCGGACTATAAGACGCACCCCCCACCCCAATTTAGAGGAATAATGGTTGTTAATGCTGCTGTTGAGTTCTGTTTATATTTACATTGGTGGAATATTGTGTTATTTGTTATTAGATATTTTACCACATTTTTTGCTTCAATTTTTTTTTCCTACTTTCCTCTAAAGCCTAGGTGTGTCTTATGGTCTGAAAAATACGGTATATTTTAGACTTTTAAAAGGGATACCATCTTAAAGTTAGTAGCATCACCACAGGTGCAAGGATACCAAAGATTCAGGAATATTCAATTTACTGTGGAGAGTTATTAGATCACCATTCCAGAACACCCAGAAAGGCCTTTCCAAGTTTTGAATTGAATTATTTTGAGTTCGAAATCCAACTATTATTATTTTAAATGATGCTTTTATTTTCCATCAGAAAATTGTTTTTCTTAAAGTGTGCAGTTTTAAGACTGGTGTATGCTTCTTTTCACCTTCTTCCCCCGTAATAGCTCTCCTTTTATGGGGGAGCTGTTTCCTCTGTCCTCTTTTATTTGGAGTGTTTCTCTTTTACTGTAATGGAAATCTATGCATTTACCCCGGTTTGCGTTCATTCTGGACTGTCTCTGCTGGCAAATACTGAGAACAATTGTCTAATGGGTATTAGACGTCTAAGGGGATGTTAATGAGGGCTCTCTAGAAGCCAGATGTCTCCTACGTACCTTGCAGAAGGTTGTTTTAGAGCTACCTCTAGTGTGAAGTGGAACCTCTCGCTCTTTAGAACTGAGACTTTTTGTTGACCTTAAATAAACTGCCAGCAAAGTTGGTTCATCTGGGAACAACAGAAGAATTGGCAATTCCTAACAGTGAACGGTGCACTAATCCAGAGAAACACAGGAAAGGAACCTTTACGGATTTGGGAGGGGCTGTTGTTAAACGAAGAGTCCATTGGTGGAAACTGAACTTTGGAAGCCCTGTGATTATTAACTGAGTTGTGGCAGCCTCCCATTGGCTGAGCTGTCTGCGGCGGGGAAGAATCTCCTTCCGGCGGAGGTAGTTAAGTCCTGTCACTTCCTGTGGTAGTAAAGCGGCATTGCTTCCTGCTGGAACCGGTACTGTGCACTGAGGACTTGGGCTCGTGAGTTCTCACCTTTAGGCAACCGACTCCATTTGCAATGAGGTCTCCGTTTATTAATTTCCAGTTTGTTTTTTTCAGGGCCCTAGGTTCTTCGTAAAAGTGGTTTCTAAGTTTCCTGGTGGGTCGAGTACAGGCGGTATAACCTGATGGGGTTCTGACACCAGGTTGGATCCTGCCTGTTGGTCAGGCCCTTGGCGCTCATTAGTCTGTATAACTGCAGATCTTCCCAGGGAGGTGGGTGCGTGGTGCCTGTTTCCTCTGGGTGTGTGTCTGTCTTCCCTGGCTTCATTGCTCCTCTGTCTGTCTCCTGGCAGGCTCGGGGACCAGTTCTACAAGGAAGCCATTGAGCACTGCCGGAGTTATAACTCGCGGCTTTGCGCGGAGCGCAGTGTGCGGCTCCCCTTCTTGGATTCACAAACTGGGGTGGCCCAGAACAACTGCTACATATGGATGGAGAAGAGGCACCGAGGCCCAGGTGAGCCAAGCCACCCCTGGGATGTGCACATACTTGGGTGCCCGGCTTGGGCGGGGGAGGATCATAGCTGTTCCAGAAATTTACGCAGTACTGGTGGGGGTTGGGTAAATTGTACAACGGGCTGTAATTCTTTAGAGAAACTCAGCGGCTTCTATAGCTGTTGGCTGGTGAGGGGCCTTGAAGCCACATTGAGGGGGGCAAAGGATGTTTAGCTCCAAAAAGGGAAGACTGGGGACAGTTATTTCCATCTTTTACACGCGCTTGTTAGTGTAGCTTAGTTATAAATTGTAAATCTGTGATCAGATCTAGGTTTGAGGTTTACCTTTGTCATCAGATCTCTCTCCCTGAGGTTCCTCTTCTCTGAAATGGGGATTAAGAGTAGTTCCTAGGTAAGGATTTTATCAGGATTAAATGCAGATAGTAGTCACTAAGAAAGCTCCCAATGGGGGTTAGTACGAGGTATAAGTTCTCCAAATGCTGGCCATTGATATTACTGTTGCCACCACACTAGTCTTGTAGGCTCCGGAGAACAGAATAAAGCCCAGTTGATGGAGATTTGGGAGGCAACTGTAGGAATGCGGTTTTCTGATTTTATTTGGGTATATTTTAAAAACTGTTGTTATGATAAATTTCAAACCCATACAAAAGCAGAGAGAGAATAGTAAAATGACTCTCCATGTATTTATCACCCAGCCTCAACAATGACCAATTTATGGCCAATCCTGTTACATTTACACTCATCTCCCACTTCCTCTCTGATCTCAGGTTATTTTGAAGCAAGTGAAATCTTTTTTTTTCTTTTTGGTTTGTAAATTTTTTAGTATCTATCTGTAAATGGTAAGGACTTAAAATCAAATTCGAAATAACTATCAAAGCTCCAAGTTAACAGTAAAACTTGAATACCATTAAATATTTGCTAAACATTTTTAAAAAGATTTTATTTATTTAGAGAGGGGGGAAGGAAGGGGAAGATCAGTATGCGGTTGCCTCTCATGCATCCCTTGCCAGGGACCTGGCCTGCAGCCCAGGCATATGCCTTGACCAGGAATTGAACCAGGGACCCTTTGGTTCACAGGCCAGCCCTCAATGCACTGAGCTGCACCAGCCAGGACTGTACATTTATTTTTAGAGAGAGGGGAAGGGAAGGAAAAAGATAGGGAAACATTGATGTGCAAGAGATACGTCAGTCCGTTGCCTCGTGCGCCACCAGCTGGGGACCAGGCCCATAACCCAGACATGTGCCCTGACTGGGAATCAAAAAACCAGTGACCCTTTGGTTCACAAGCTAACAGTCAATCCACCACACCAGCCAGGGCAACATTTATTTTCCCCTGTAGTTTAAATTAGGATCCAAATAGGATCCCTTTGTTGCACCTGGCTTATGTGTCTCTTTATCTTTTAATGTTGGTGGCAAGTTTCTTTAGTAATTATGTGTTGCTCTGATTGTTAAAGATGATTTACATTATTTTAAAGATTTTTATTTATTTATTTTTAGAGAGAGAAGGGAAGGGAAGGGAAGGAGAAAGAAGGTGAGAAATATCTGTGTGTGGTTGCATCTTGCATACCCCCTCCTGGGGACCTGTCCTGCAACCCAGGGATGTGCCCTGACTGGAAATCGAACTAGCAACCCTTTGGTTTGCAGCCCGTAGTCAGTCCACTGAGCTACACCAGCCAGGGTGCTCATGCGTGTTCTCTCTCTCTCTCTTTCTCTTTCAAGAGTTTATTTATTTATTTCTAGAGAGAAGGAAAGGGGGGGGAGAGAGAGAGGGAGAGAAGCATCAATGTGTTGTTGTTTCTTGCACACCCGCTACTGGGGACCTGGTCCACAGCCCAGGCATGTGCCCTGACTGGGAATAGAGCATGCAAACCTTTTGGTTTGCTGGCTGGCTCTCAATTCACTGAGCCACACCAGCCAGGGTAAAATAAATTTTTTAAATATAAACATTGCTTTAGCCTTAGTTCATAAAGTTTGATAGGGTGTTTTCATTTTCATTCAATTCACTTATTTTCTGGTTTCCCTTTCGATTTCTTTTTTTTAATCATGGATTATTTAGAAGTGTGTTATTGAATTTCCAAAATTTTGGGATTTTCAAAGACATGCTTGTTACTTATTTCTAATTTAACTTCATATAGCCAGAGTATATACATTGTATGACCTGAATCCTTTTAAATATACTGAGTCTTGTTTTATGGTCCAGAATATGGTCTATCTTGGATAAATATTTTCTTTGGTCTGGAAATGTCTGAACTTTCCTATTGTTGATATTTCCTGTAAATACCAATTAAATCAAATTTGTTGTTAATGTTCCTCAAATCTAAATCCTTTGTCCGTTCTATGAATTATCAAGAGGAAGTGTTGAAATTTTTAACTATAATTGAGTTTGTCTATTTTTCCTTACAATTCCATTAGTTTTTGCTTCATATATTTTGAACCTTTGTTTAGGTGTATAAATAGTTAGGATTTTTATGTCCTCTTGTAACTGAGTAAAGTATGGTCTGCCCTGTGTCACTTTGGTACACAACCCAACAATTAGTGTAGAAGGAAACAGGGTTTTACTGACAGGATTCCAACCTTGGGGGGCGTGGCTGGGGGGGGCACTCCTGCTCGGAGCCCTGTTCTCCTATGAGACCCAGCACTTCCCTTGCTCCCCATCCGGCCAAAAAAAATGTCCAAAAGTTCCCCATATCTTTGTCTGTTCTTAAGTCAGATGTGCAAACAGATCTCCATCCCCTCTGGCATGTGCACTTGTGGTTTTCAGAGTCGCTATCTTTGTAGCAGCTCTCTCTTTCAGGATCTGGGGCATGTTTGTCCTCAGTGTCCACACAGTAGTCCAGGACAGGATGTGCCATGTTACGCTGGGGTCCAGGGAGGCACATGACCCAGGAGAGTGGCCTCTCCGTGTGTCCTTCAGCGAAGCAGAAGTCAGCAGTCCCTGGTCACAGTTCAGCTTTCCAGGAGTGTCTCACGAGTTTGTGCTTGGCTCGGCAGTTCCCCGAATAGCTCTGTCAGCTCTGTCCTTGCACCCTTTTCGGCCCATGTGGCTGCCTTCCTCACTACCCCAGGCAGCGTGGCGGAATCCTGACCTTGGGCCGGCAGGGCTTCTCTCGTACATACCAGCTTTCCTGGCGGACTCGCTCAGACCTCAGGGTTGAAGTTCTCCTTCTTCACTAAAGACCCGCACGCCTGCTTCTTCACTACATCAGACCGCGTGGCAGAATCCCTCTATTTCGTGGCTCCTTGGCTGCCTCTCTCCTCTCTTAGTCTGCTGACCCAGGGCTTCCTACATAACCTCATATCTGGCCCTTTCTCCAGTGTGCCGCTTTTGCCACTTCACCTTGTCTTTTACCTTCTTTTGGTTGCCATCTTTAGTCAGGGCAAGAGGACCCCTTGACACAGGAGCCCCTGCCTCCTCCCTGCCTGTCCTGGCCTTCGCCCTGCCACTGCCCCGATTGTCAAGTAGACCTTTCACTTGGGGCAGCAGCACAGCTATTAACATGCTGTCAACTTGCCATTGTTATGAAAACTCTGTTAACTGCTGTATCACCCCCCAACCATGGCCCATGGGGATAGTATTCAGGGACCCCCAGTTTATAGCCCATTTCACTCTTGATAGGTCGATGCCTTTATTATTATTTAATGACCTTATTTCTACTAATATTCTTTATTCTGAAATCAGCTTTCTCTGATAGGAATACAGCTGCATTGGTTTCTTTTTAAAATAACTATAAACATGGTGTATCTTTTTCCATTCTTTTAATATATTTGTCTCTTTATGCCAAAATATTTTTATTTTTTATAAGCAGTATATAGTTTCTTGCCTTTTTAATGTAATGCAATCTGTTTTCTCTCCTTTTTTCAAATTTAAAATTTTTTTTTAGAGAGAGGAGAAGGGAAGGAAAAAGAGGGAGAGAAACATCAGTGTGTGGTAGAAACTTCAATCGGTTGCCTCTCGCATGTGGGGCCACACCCAGGTGTGCGCCCTTAGTGGGAATCGAACTGGTGACCTTTTGTTTTGTGGGATGACATGCAATCAACTGAGCCACACCAGTCAGCATGTTTTTTAATTTTAATATAGTTTTATTTTATAGTCATATAAGATATTTACATGGCTTTAAAATCAAATGTACAAAGCATAGTACACTCAGAGAAAGTATCTCCTTTTCTGTTCCTTTGCCCTTTCCATAGGCAACGTTCTCTTTTCTCGTCACTATCGTTGTGCTATTTCTCTAACTTTTTTTTAGTTTTTGGTTTATCTTTGCATTTAAAACCTGCAAACAGGTTTGTGTGTGTGTGTGTGTGTGTGTGTGTGTGTGTGTGTGTATATATATATATGTACCCCCATTTCTTAAGAGAGGCAATAGGACATTATGTGCACCATTTACCACTTTGCTGTTTTCACTCAACAGTATACTCCATTGCAGTGTATACTTCTCCCCCCTCTGCCCTCTTGCTCTTTCTCTGTTTCTCAACAGCTTCATAATAGTCCATTGTGTGGATACAGTATTGTTTATTCAACCAGGTCCTTATAGATTGATGTTGGATTGTTTCCAATCTTTTTCTAGTATCAAAAATAGTACAATGAACATAGAACCATGCAAACTGGGGCTTGTCCAGTCTTTACCTTCAATCCACATGACTTAACAATTAGTGCTTAAGGAAACAGGTTTTTTGTTGTTGTTGTTTTTTTAAGACTTTATTTATCTTTAGAGGGGAAGGGAAGGAGATAGGGAGAGAAATATCAACGTGTGGTTGCCTCTCGTGTGTCCTCTGCTGGGAACTAGCCTGCAACCCAGGCATGGGCCCTGACTGGGAATCAAACCGTGATCCTCTAGTTCGCAGGCCCACGCTCAATCCACTGAGCTACACCAGGCAGGGCTTAGGAAACAGTTTTTTAAAAAAATATTTATGTATTTTTAGAGGGGAAGGGAAGGAGAAAGAGAGGGAGAGAAGCATCAGTGTGTGGTTGCCTCTCACGCTCCCCCTGTCAGGGGCACGACTT